CCCCCCCCCCCCCCCCGGACACCCATAGACTCGACAGAGGGCAAAAAGCGAATAACGATGATTGTGACATCGACGGGGACAATCCCTCATAGGGTGCCCGTGCCGACGTGCACGTATATAACCGTGTTATCGGCACCAGCGTCGACTTGACGTCCCACGCCCTTTGCACGAAATACGTACCTTCGGCCCGGCCTCGTCGCACAAGAGCGCACATACACCTATATAAATGTACAGCCGTGCCCGGATGTTTCAATAACGGGATGTATAGCGCCGGGGGGCAGTTCGCCTCGACTCTCGGCTTTCGTGCGATTATCCCTCCCACGGCTCTTCTTCTTCTTCTTCTTCTTTGTCCGGTGACAACTGTCCGCTACAGTGACGGCCTTTGTTAATGCACTGCCCAACCCTCTATCCGGTGCATAATTGTCTACATAATTATGTACTCTCGTGTGTGACTCCTTTCGTCAACGCGTAAAAAACTGTTTGGGGGGCGACGATCGATTCGAAAATTTTAATAACCAAAACACGCTAAAACCATTTCGAGAAAACCATTTGATATGTGATTAATCAATCCACGAGTACTGCTCGGCTGGCCTGAACTACGGTAGCAACCACCATTTACTCGTTCACGAAAACGAAAAAAAAAATTACATACCTTCCTCGGTCACGTTTAGTCGCAATCGTGATAATCGCAGCTTTGCTAATTCCAGGGCCACGCCTGCAGTATATACGCGGAACGTGCTCTGATTCGTCTGAGGGCAGAGGGCCCTCAACATTTTTCAAATTCCTCGCTGGAACTGCATTATATGGGTACTTATATGACATGCATCCCCAGTAAAACCACACATCCATACAATTGCAGAAAAGGGGGGTATATGCATGAAAATAAGCCACATACATATATATATATACAGAAGAGAGAGATGGGGGGGGGAGAAACTTGTAATTGCTCCTGGAACTGCTTTCCACCCTCGAATGGGATATAACTTGAGTGGAGGGGGAGGGATGATCGCTCTCGGCCCACCGACCGCAAGACGGGAAGTTACGATGTCGCGTGGAATTTCCTTCGTATCCCTCCTCGTCCCCTCTACTCCTGTTATTGTTTTCTTCTCGTTAGCCCAGCGCCGCGGCTCTCGAGTTGCACCCCCGTGACGAGCGAATCGGTCAAACAATTGAATTATCCCCGAGCCGGTGATGGTACCCTGTGTACTTATACACGAGAGAGCGAAGGGTACACACACCTTTGTTCTCCCCTACATACGTTGGGTCACGGGTACGAGTGTGTCATCCTCCGACCAAAATACATATTTGCGCTCTTGAGCCGGGGATAAGTCGTTCGTCTCTCGTTGATTAAACTAGTTTTTTTTCTTTTTTCTTCCAATTTGTACACCGTGTATACCTACGAGACCGAGCGCTGCGTGCATTCACATAGGGGCCGTCAACTCCAGCACCGCAGGGCCTCCTCGACAGTATTGCTGGCAATATTCATATATAATAACAGTGCAGCGCGTGTGTTACGTGGAGGTAGGTCTGCGTGTGGGTAACGAGTGTAAGCCCACGTGAGTAATTGCTTATGAGTTTAAGGCTCTTTGCACCGAGTCGCGACAGCATCATTAATATCCTCCGTACCCGAGGCTTTTAGCAAATGACTGCACGCTCGGTCTCTCCTATCTATTTTTTTAGGGCTTTGTCTTGCAGGAAAAGAAAAAAAAACAAGCAGTGTTAGAAACAACCTTCTCCTCTGTATCGCTTCGTTGTACGCTCAAACACTTTACTGAAACAAGAGGGGAAAAAAAAATACACGTGGGTGGGATTAATTGTTTGGTTTTTTATTCAAATACGCGAGTAAAGCAACGTAATCAGGTTTTCCAAACTAAATCTGACGAGGAATGGTCTTTGGGATCGCTTGATACAGTGGAGAAAAGGGTTGACGCGTCCGTAGTATTTAGGTTTCCCGATACCACTCGTCGATAGCTATAATTTTCCAATCGGAATTCACCGGTCCTCGGGAATCGGTTGGATTTCACGATGATTTTTCCGGGTAAGGTTTTTCCCCGGAAGGAAGAGGGGGAAAAAAAAAAGAAACGGAAGAGAAAGTCGATCTCGAGATAACACGGGGTGAGTCGCTGCGAGATCGACGATGGCGACAAATCGCGCATTCGCACGCGCCTCGGTCTTTCTTTGTTCCGAGAGGGAATATCCGAGAAAATAACCGTAAAAAGGAGCGGAAGGGAGAGCTGAGCCGAAGAAAGGAAAGAGGGAAAAAAGAGCGAGGGCGGATCTTGTATGTATATATATAATTGTGAAAATGGAGGGATCGAGAGAAAGCGCCGGCTGCGCAGTTGAGGAGGAACGTGGAAAATTACTCCTCGGCGAGCGAGGGAATGCAAAATGAAAAGAAGACGCCGGCTTATGAAGACGAAAATTGCGAGGAGAAGTATCGGGGTGCTGGCTGTACGCGTGCATCCAGAGATACCGACGTGGAACGAGAGGAGGATGAAAAAATTTAAAAAAAAAAGTGTGTATAATTCATTTTCTTGTGCCTTGCTTCTCTGAAATAAGTACCGCAAGGCTTTTGACACTCGTTACGCGATATACTATTATCTGCGATACATACTTATTTTCCGGCCTTTTTCAGTTTTTTAGAAAAGGCCCAAGAAAAAAAATTGTACCTTCTGTTCCGCGATTCCGGACTTTTTTAAGGAACTTAGTACAACTGTGGAGAAATAAAAGAGACGGTCGTATACCCACTACCGACCTGCCGCTCAATGAGATCGTTCCAAACCAACCAAACGATTTCGGCAAAAGTTAATAACCGTACCATTTCAATCTGCATCGTTAGGAACGGACTCGATTGCCGTCTGAGTTGGTAAGACTCCGCGGGCAGGCACCTACTAAATGAACCATCGGAAACACGCACACTTTAAACTTGAGGGTATAGTTAAGTATATGAGTACTCAAGAAGAGGCCTCGGTAGCTCCGTTCGATGAGCACATTCCACAGTTTCACTCAAGCAAGTACCAATTGGTGGTACTCTTTTTTTTTTTTTTTTTTTTACTTCATCAGGGCAAACGCTTATCCACGGATTATATAAACTACTCGAATGGATGATGCCTCTGCGCTCGGAAAGCTCTTCAATTATACCAGTGCGACATCAAATTCCAAGTGACGGGGACCCAACGTCGTGCAATCGAAAAATAATACATTTCCCGGTGGATTATTTCTCTCCGCGCAGCCCTTGGATTCTGCGATCATTACTCTCGGGGACTGATGAAATCGAGCTGTGAAATATTAACGACCACTCGGCCGAGCTTGGGATGAAAAAAAAAAAAAAAATGGCGAGTCCGTTAAAATCGATTATAATCTTGGGTAAAAGCGTCGATTTTTCGAGATGAAAGCCACAAAAAGGATAGAGCGGTGCCGAGTACATCCAACGGTGAGATGAAAATTGTCCATCAACTCGAAAAGAAAAACAACTGACTCTAAACACGTTATATTCTCTGTAGCATCGCACACGTGTAACAATGAAAGAGTTTTCACCTGCCCCTCTTGAAAAAAAAGCAGTAGCAACTAAAAGATCGAAAACTCGGCGGAGGGGAGTGCAGGGTTCACGCTCCGAGCGTTCCTTTCATCGCCCTCCCGAACAATGGGGAAAATCGCCGGGTCGAAAACTCCCGCGTCCGAGGCGCAAGAGCGTCCCTTTTGCCTCTTCTCCCGGTCGAGCAAAAGTCTGACTCTTCGTCGTGCGCATCGAGAAAAAAAGAAAGAAAACACCATCGTCCTGTCGGTGAATCCTTTTGAAAATCACGCGGTTGGAACGGCTTTGAAGAAGACGCGCCCTTTGCTCGTGGAAATCTATTTCATGAAAAACATATATAGAGTAAAGGTATACGTGTGCATTTATGTACCTATTCCCCTCCGAAAAGTGAATCAGTGCACAAAAGTTCGTTAATTTTACAGTTGATCTGTCAAATAAACGAATTAACCGGTAAAGAAAAACTATGGAGATAAAATTAAGGGTTACCAAAAGATTCTTTCATTCGGATTTATAGAGTATTTTTATTACAAGAAACCTTTTCGAGACTTTTACATATAGTTTAGTCTTCAAAGGAGATCTTGTTCTAGCTGGCTTTGAATATTCCAACAAACGAACAAAACTAACCAAATATGAAGGAATAAATTTTTATTTCTTTTTTTCGTCTGTTCCAGGCAACATCTTCGTGATAGCGGCCATACTGTCGGAACGCGCCCTGCAGAGCGTCTCCAACTACCTGATCCTCTCGCTGGCCGTCGCCGATCTCCTGGTGGCCTGCCTCGTCATGCCTCTGGGTAAATTCCCTCGACTCACCGTGTCACGCAATCTACACGCACACTAACGTAAAATAAAAAAAAAAAATTACAGAGAGAGAGAGCTCGAAACACGTTGCAAAAGAGCATCAACGGGTATAACCTGCAACCCATTCTTCCGCGACTCTTAAATGCAATCGATCGGCTCCAAACGAGCTCGTACCTGTACCCAAGCCCCAGCGGAACAAAAGAAACGGAAAAAATAGAACACTCGACGCGCGAGTAAGACACTCTTTGACGCGTTACTCAAAGCGGCCCTTTCAGACCCGCGCCCACTCGACAAGTGAGCGTAAGGTCGGTGCTCGCGTCTCTCTGATCCAGTGCTCGAGCTTTCCGAGCTTTAATTCGGTCGCACACTCGCGGAATCCACAAACTCTCTCTCTCTCTCTCTCTCTTACACAATACGTGCATTTATGAATGCTGGAGCGCGCGCGTACACACACACGTTATAAGGAGGCCAGACGTTTTAGTGGGGCATTGTTGGCAGGAGCCGTGTACAAGGTCGCCCACAAATGGACTCTCGGGCCGGAGTTGTGCGACATGTGGACCAGCAGCGACGTGCTGTGCTGTACGGCTTCGATCCTCCACTTGGTGGCCATCGCGCTCGACAGGTTGGTACACACTTGCCTCGCGCCAACTTTTACTCTCCTTACTTTTTACCCCCCCCCCCACCCTCTTGGCAGATCAGTGCCAAAGAGCCATTTATTTCATGTACACCTCGAAAGCTCGGAGGAAACGGTTTGTAAGTGAGAGCCCCATATATATTATGTCCGTGTAGGGCACACAAAGATTATTACAAGGGGGAAAAGGGACGGTGGGAAGTTAGAAGCCAATAAGACAGCAGAGGGCAACTCGTAAAAGGAACCCATAACTCGGAACAAAGTGGGGTGTATATATTGTATGATACACAAGGTGTGCGCGCTCGCCGCAAATTGTGCACATATATAAGTATAACGCCATAAGCGTTTTCGCGCGATTCCAAGAATACACGGGGGCACGTGTGAGTGAACAGTAAAGGAACGCGCCCGAGTTTTCGAGCAGTGCTCCGAAACGCGAAATCGATGGCAATACGTATGTGTACATGGAAAAGGTGGTCAACGGAGCTACGGTTGCGTATCACAAATTACAGACGCAAAAACCCCCCCAACGGGTGACGCAACGACCCTTGTCGGTCTTATTTTCTGATTATCTTTTTTTAAGGTGGGTGGGGAGGGAAAACCGATCGAACGAGCCGAGAACGAGGGAGTTGGATTACTTATTGTTTTGTACCGGAACGTGTCTGACCATCGCGGGGGTCGGAGAAGAGGAGCTCTGCCGGATAATTGGCCGTGTGGGCGGAGTATCCACGCGACCAGGGGTACATCGGACTCCGATCGGGGAGTTGCCGGGAGCAGATGGCTAATCGACCGAGCCGATGTAATTAGCTCGACAGTGCCAAGAGGGAGGGATTTTATTGCTAATGGGTGGCCATTCGCGGCCGAGCAGTGCACATAGGAGCGAATTATTCCGCAATCACGGGCCGCCGCGGTTGTTTTGATTTCGGATCAGCCGTGGGTTGCTCGAATAACGTGTTGTTGGTACACCGCGCGAGGACTGCGGGGTAATGGTGGACCCGAAAAAAAAAAAAAAAAAATATGTTACTGGCAACATGTAAAAATCATGCCAAATCAACTCAGTTTGTGCATACGGTGTGTCGTCCAACGAGCCAGCCACGGCTAATGGGTCGTCCCGACCACGTTCCTCTGGAATTTGATTGCACGCTCCGTGTACGTATGAGTTGCGGCGGGCCATCATCCACCCCTTCCTCCTCCCTCGCGATGGGACCAAAGTTTCGGCTCTCGAAGAGTCCATCGGTACATAGTTTGTTCTTGTTGTTTGCTGATGAGAATCGCTGCACGCCGTATACACCTCTTTGACGATGATTCATTACTTTTGCTAATTCCCGTATACACTGGGTGCTCACGCCCGATCGTTACCGACCCGCGGGATATATTGTATATTTCGAGCTCGAATTGCCGATTTTCCTCTTCTCTCCAAAACGCGCGATAAAGTTGTATATTGATTTTGTTGAAAAATTTCAATACATAGTTGTTACGAATATCATATACACACGCACATTCTCGCAAGGCCGAAAAAGCGAGAAAAAAAAATCGGAGAAAAAAGATGAGGAAAATAATGAGCTATCGAGGGGAAAAAAACAAAAAAAGCATCGTAGTGACTGATTAAAAGTACACACAACGCGTGGCAGAGGAGTACCCCTCTCACGTCGGCCCAGTGTAACAATTCCGTGGGATCGTTAAAAACTTGGCCTCCAGTTCTGCAACAACGGAAACCCCGTGCTATACCAAGACAAAAGACGGAGAAGGTTGCGTTAATGAGCGCGCAAAAACCGGTAGAGTTTTTTTTTTCCTCCCTCGGCTCTGCAGGTGACTCGAATGGCAGAATTCACGCATCACATTTGAGAAGAAGTGTATATTTTACCTTTGCGGACGATTCGACTTGCTCCGACAAACGCGTAAAGCTTAAAATGGCTCAAGCGCTGTAGAGCCGCGAAGCGCATTTTAATTAAGGGCTCGCGGGGTTCCTTGAAATGAATCATACCCCATTCTCTATATTATTATTATTTTTTTTATTTTATTTTTCAGTTTGCTCGATGAAGCAAACTCTCGTTGCTATGCGTTTTTCAATTTTCCGCGAGTAAAGGGAAAAGAAAAAAAAGTTAATAACGTTTTAAAAGAAAGGTCGGGGGGGGAAGGGGGGAGGGTGAATCCTCGGGCGGAAGAGCTTTTTCCGAAAATCAACATACTAAGTACTAAAAGAAGATCACAACGAAGTTTCAACATCGAAGAGAGAAATAATAAAACTTGGGGGTGATTTGAGCCCGGTCCCGAAGAGAGGAAGGAACGGGCTAATCATTTGCCGGGGGTAAAGTTTTCCGGGGGTAAAAAACAAATTTCAACTCGGTTGTTGGGTCTAGGTACGATATAAACGGCACTTTGGGAAGTTTTCCCTCCTGTCGAATGGAGGTGTACTTACATCAAATCACCAAGCGGCAGTAAAGTGCGCGATGACTCCTCATTCGATTGGGAGGAAAAGTGTATATAAATGGGATATTCAAGAGCGAGACCAGGCGGGACGGACGTTTCGACATATACTCGTGAACAAAATAAAAAATAAAATAAAATAAGTTGCTGAAAACGAAAGATTCTGCACGCGTCGAAGCATCGGAGGAACCCAACTCCTCGCGTCTCACGTACATACGCAAACAACACAATTTACCGTTTCAGCTTCAAAAAGAACAGCAGAATCTGCTGTTCCACTTGTACTATCTCGTGTGTTTGCGTTTCTCGGTTTAGCTGCGCTGTACGTCATGGTATACACGTCTTCTCGAGAGAATCGCTGATGGGTATACCGAGCGGTTGCGTATGGAAATTAAGAGTACCCACGTAGGTATACGTGTAGGCTCGTTAGCTCGAACAGCGTCTCGCGTTGGAAACGCGTGAGTCGCAAGCTCGAGCCCCACCCACACGATGTAGGTCGATTGAAATACTCGGTTGCTGGCAATCGTACAGAGAAAAAGAAAAGCACAGTGGAAATCTAAAGTCGGTGGTGCAGGGTAACCGAGGAATACCGATCACGTTCGGCGATGCGGAGGAAAAATTCCAGAGGGGACGTAAAAACACGGGGTACCTGTGTACGATACGCGGAAACACGACAATCGGATTTCACGTTCGTCGGTCAAAGGATGGAGGAAGTATGTACCCCCCCCCCGAGGCTCCGAGTTACGGCGTTCTTTTTTAACGACAGGAAGCGCGCTCGATCGGGAATACCTTTGCGTCTCTTCTCGAGATTAGCTGCGGCAGGGACGCTGGCACGTACGTCTGATAAAATAGAGACTTTTTTTTTCCATCGCCTCTGTTGTATGTGGTTGGGTCATTTTCTCGGGAAGGGGGATTGGCGATTTTTCTTCCGGAATGTATTTGCGGGGCCGGTAATTCGAATGCGGTCGTGGAGTCGATGGGGTACATCGCGATGCTGGATTGCTTTGTTGCGGCGACAGTTTTCTCAAGGTCCAAAAGATGATGACATGTGAGGTTGGAGGTGATGGGTGTTGGACGCGTTGAAAAGTGCGAGGGTTTGTGATTCGCGGTATGGTTGGGAGCTCTCGTTGATTCAATCCAACGATTGCCTCAAAAAATTTGTACACTTTTTTTTTTTGCTTTTTATTAATTAAGTCGCGCACACAGCCCAGGAAATATGTATCTTTGCTTTGAAAAGTGTGTGCTTTTCGTTATTCGCGTCGTTGGCGGCACATTTAACGTACAGAATAAATTGAAAAAAAAGAAGAGTCAAAAGCAAACAAAAATTTACACATCCACCCCCAAGCACCGGCCCTTTCGCATTTCAACTTTCCAAGAGATAACGAATTCACGTTGTAATTGGCCGTACCTGTACTAACGTCGTTTTGTGAAAAAAAAAAAGGTTGGACCAAACGTACTACCAAAGACCCCTTTTGTCTTACCAAACGAGTTAATTATCGTTCCAGCCCTCCATCGTGTAAAAGTCGCTATAAGGTGTATATTCCAGAAAGTCAAATTGAAGCACGAAAAAACGAAAAATCTAAAGCCCCCCCCCCCCCCCC